TTAATATTAATACTATAATAATTGTTTAATTTTTTTTTTGAATTTTTAATTAATTTAAGTTTTTAAGTTAATAATTTTAACTTCATGTTAAAAAAAATATTCACCATAAAATACCATTTTTCTATCAATTATTTGGTAGTTATATCGGAATCAACTTATCAATAATGTTTGTGAAATAAATTAATAAATTAATTCAAGAGCAATTAGATTCCGATATACATTTATTTCAAGACTTAGCTTCTCTTTGAGTTGCTATATTTAATAATAACCATTTAAAAACAATATAAAACTTGAATGACCAAACGACCGAATGGCAGACCACGTCCCAACTGAACGCGAATTGATGTTATCTGGCAAATTATACGACAGTACAGTTCCTGAATTGGTCAATGAGCGCCGTGCTTGCAACGAGAAGGTAATGGCGTTTAACAATGAGCTTCAAGAAGAGAAGCGTGATGTTATTCTTCGCGACATTCTCGGTACCTGTGGTGAAAATGTTACTTTTCTTCCTCCGTTCCATTGTGATTATGGGAAGTACATAACTGTCGGTTCATCCACTTTTGCAAATTACAATTTAGTTGTCCTCGACGCAAGTCCAGTGAAAATTGGCAGCCATGTTTTGATTGGTCCCAATGTGACTTTAGTAGCTGCCACTCATCCCACTGACCCAGTAATAAGAAATTCATTACTCGAATATGGCTTTCCAATCACCATCAAAGATGGCGCTTGGATCGGAGCAAATGCAATAATTATGCCCAACATCACCATCGGTGAAAATTCCGTAGTCGGCGCTGGCAGTGTAGTGACGAAAGATGTTCCAGATAATTCCATAGTAGCTGGTAACCCTGCCAAATTCATAAGAAAAGTCGATGAACATCCAGGATGGACTCCCGAGGATCGTAACATCCCTTTATAGGACTTTTACTCTAATTGATTTGTAACTCAATTCCATTGACACTCAGGCAATCAAAAAATAAACACAATGAAGTCACTATAACTTAATAACAATGACGGTGATATTATCTGTTGACCCCTTCGAAATCGCAAGTTGAGTGAGTTGTTTCGCTACCGCCTCAAACTGTACCCCTTCAGTCTCTAACACCTCCTTGACTTTTTCAGCATTAATCCCATCCCACAGGCCATCACATGCTAATACTATATATTTCATGTCACTGGTGACTTCAGCAGCTTTCATATAAGGCGCAGAGACTATCCACTGTTTAATATAATGATCACCAAGTGCGCGAGTGACTGCAATAACTCCATTCACTCTCCCAGACATGATAAGAGCTCCAGAGTTTTGTAATCGTGTGATCTCTTCTGAGTTTTTTGTGTTGTGTTCCTCAGACATACACGTCACTCCGCTTGTTGACAGAATGTAACCCATTGAGTCTCCGGCATTCGACATGTAAATCGTGCGCTTGTCACCAAATTTGTCAATGATGCACATCAAAGCGCACGAACCGGGGTAATCGATTTTGTTATCTTTGATACTGAGGTCGAGCTCCGCATAGATATCTTCAATTTTTTCTTCTATTGCGATGTCGCGCTTTAATATCTCCGTCACCATCCCTCCGACTATCTTAGCTGCGTGTTGTGATGCTGTTCTCCCACCATGCCCATCAAATATACAGTACAACGAATAGATGTGGCCATTCAGTTCAACAAGGGGGTCCATAATGAAGTGTGCGTCTTCCATTGTTCGGCGTCTCGGGTAATTTTTTTCCGACGCAACAACATATTTCTCAACAGTAAGTGGTTGGTTTTGTGTTGCGACACTTTGTTGTGGTTGCGATGGAGTTGGTTGTGTTGATTGCGTTTGAACAAGGGTTGGTGTTGCTTCGGGTGTGGCTTCGGACATGATCTTTTTCAGTTCTTTAAAATTGAGGAAAAAACTTTTTCTCTTAATTATTTGAGTTGTCATTTTTTTATTATTTTTTTTATACAATAAAAAAAAATCTCAAAAAAATGTCTAATTATAATAGTAAATCGATAATTAAATAATAAAATTTTGTTAATACTTTAATTACAGTCTTTTTTTGTCGATTATAATTTAAATAATAAAGTAGTAATAAAATTTAGTACAACAAAAAAGAATCAATAACTAATATAAAAATGGTTAAAATATAATAAAATGAAATTATTAATAATTATTATTATTATATTATAATTGAATTAACAAATGCACTCTTCCCGATAATTTAAATGTAAATGATGATAAATATCCATTGAATTATTTAAATAAAAAACGAAGAATAAAAAACCCTAAAAAAACTTGGAAAAAAAACGATGTCGAAAGAACCAAACACAAAGCAAGTTGAAAAAGACAACACGACGAGTATATCAAGTAATGAGGTACAAAAGAAAGAAGTGAAAAAGGAAGTTTCTGGTGTTGAACCTTCAAAGAAAAAGTTTAAAGACAAGAAGAGACCAATGAGAGTGATTCGTATTGAAGGGAACATAGCCAAAGTCGAAGTACTCAAACCCGATTCACGCATCAAAAGAGACGAATTTAAAAAACATGAAATTAAACAAGAAATAAATAAAGAAATAAAAAAAGAAATAATTAAAAAAGAAGAAGAGGATGAACCACAAGTTTCGCAGTACATCGAAACAACTAAAAAAGTCAAGAAGGAAGAAAAAAAGGAATCGAAGCCAAACACTAAACCAATACGAAAAATAACTCGTGAAAACAAAGAGAAAAAACGGGAAACAAAAATAATTGATCACAGACCTGACGAAGAAACACTGAAAAAAATCAAAGAAGACCTTGCAAAGACACCTCTGTTCACTATGAAGAAACTCCCAGAAGATGAAAAACAAAAACAGAAAATTGAAAAAATGAGGAAAAAGATCCTTTCGATGGCAGAGCATTGTCCCGAGAAAGTTTTATCGAGTGAAGAACTTCTGGAACGACGAAAGAAGAAAAATGCCGATGAACTGACTCGGACTATTTTTGTTGGTAACATTTCATTTGAGTCAACTGAAGAGGCTCTTTTGAAGAAGTTTGTTTATCTCATTTAGTATAGTATCCAATGAGTTGAAGTAACGCTTAGAATGCAAGAATTGGGTGAAGTCGATTATTGCAAATTGTGTCGTATCAAAGAGAATGGGAAGAGTAAAGGAACGGCGTTTGTGTGTTTTAAAACAGCTGAAATTCGCGATAAAGTTTTGAAAGACGCGTACGCTTTTATTGACACTAAAGAGTCGAATGTTGTTTTCGAAAACAGAAGACTTGTACTCCAAAAAGCCATTTCTCGAGATAACATTTCCGTTGTTAGTCTGTTCAAAAAGAAAAATGCGGACTTTGATATCACAAAGAAAGAGTTGATCGACGTTGGACAGAAGACAAAAGAGGAGTATCTTCAGTTGGGATTGACCCCACTCGAGACTAAAATGAGACTGAAATCACAGATGGAGCGAAACAGAAAGTTGAAGAACCCTAACTTCAAGATCAACCCACTTCGTGTCGTTGTGAGAAACGTCCCCCGTGCAGTAACAAACGATGAACTTAGAAGCCTCGCGAAAACTTTTGTGTTTGTTCTTTTTGGATTTTTAGAACCACGTGACGGACTTTGTATTAACAAGCAGCAAAAATGGACGAATTTCAGACATCAAATCAGTTGAAGGTGATGAAGGCAAGTTAGTTGGCTATCGATTCATTAGGTTCACCAACGAAATGGATGCGCGCAACTTTATAGAAGGTGTGAATGAAACGATTCGATTTAAACAACGCAAAAGAATCATGTGTGAGTACAGTATTGATGATATGTTGAAGCTCCACAAATTTGAAATCGCCGTCAAACAACGTAAAGCCGACTTTGAACGTGTTAAAAAGCTCCAGAAAGGGAAGGAGATGCCGTTTCGACAGGTCCGTTTCTCGATTATCCCATCGAAGCAAGAACTTAAGAAGGATTGGAAAACAAAGAAGATGGTCATTAAGAACAAGAGACACACTCCAAAGGGTGTTGAACAGGTCAAGAACTTCAGACAGAAGAAGGACATTTTGATTTAATTGAGCAGATTGATTTGAGACTTCGACTCTGTGAATAGACTCTTGATTTTTTCTATTAATAGTTTTTCTATTACCAAAAGTTTTAAAATAAGAAAATACAACTCCTCTAGTTAAACTAATAATATATTTCTAATTGTAACTAATATGAATTGTTCCAAATAGGTATGCCCCTTCAAAAATCAAGACACCGCACGAAAAATGAGGTTAATAAAAGGAAATGAAACGGAACTATATAATTATGGTAAAATGAACAAATAAAATAGAAAATGTCCAACACGTGGGTATAAACAAAATCAATAAGAAATTCGTCCGCATCCAAATCTTTTGAAGTTTCTGATTGTCTCAAGAACAAAGGGATAAGCGGTCTGGATATCAGTGTCAGGGAACTGTAAGCCAAGGATTCCTTTGACGTGTTGGACAACCATTTCGTACATGTCTTCAAAATCAATGGGGTCGGAGTCTCTTGGAGATGAAGGACAAACACTATCCTTGTCTGATGTAGTTGTCTCCAGAAGTGCTTTGGTGACTAATAAGAACACAGCCTTATCTAAGTCTGCAGCGAACTTCTTTCGTTCAGTTGGAGTGAGTTGTCGTGATGGCTTTGATAAAGCCATCCGCCCGACTTTAGTCCTCTCTGCAGAGGGTTTGGAGTTAGTGAAAGTGTCTCTCATAGTTCGTGTCTGAATGAATTAGTCAGTTAAAGATCTGTTAAATGGAAGACCTTGTTGTGTCGTAAGTCCCTTGAATTTTTTTTTTTTGGGTTTACTGTTTCAGATTTATTTCTTGATTTCATTTCCAGTTTTTTTTCTAGTTCACTTCGCATCCTTTACTCAGGGAAGTCGGCGGTTTTTGTGGAATTAAGTTCGAGATGGTCGTACTATACTAATACTATTGGTGAACTAAATATGAACTAGTCCAAATTTTCAGGGTTTCCACTAATTATAGAACACACTTGGAGCTAATTTTGGAAACGCGAGAAAGACTATAAAGCGACAATACTCCCGCGAGAAACAACTTTCGTTTTGAACAAAACACCCTTCCCACTCACTTTCCAGTCGGATTGAAAGAGTTCAAAGCAAATAAACTAAGAATAACATTTTTTTAGTTTCTTGAATTGTGGATATTTGTTAAAAAAAAATAAAAAAAGTGAAGGCATTTTTTTTTTCTGGTGGTTAGAAGTTTGGATTAATTGCAGTAGTGGTAATAATGGTCTTTTTTTGCTACGAAAAAATAATAAAAATACTACTTTATTTTAATAAAATATTAATAAAAATAATATATTATTTTTTACTACAAATAATTGTTTTGTTTAAAAATAATCTTTAAACTAATGATAGTTTTGAAAAAATATAAAAACTATTCTTATTATATTTGATTATTATAATAATAATAAAAGAATAATTATCAATAAATAATAAAAATTAAATTTTATAGTAAATAATCTATAACCAAAAAAAGTTGTGTTGTGAATTTCTTTAATATTTTTTTTCTAAATATATAATTAAAAAACATGTTTAAATTGTAGAATCTTCAAACGTTGTTCCTTTTGCAAAAAAATACACAAAAAATCCTTTAAAAAATTAGGAATTAGGTAATAAATCATAAAAATGGTAAAAAAACTGAAACAATGTTTTTCTAGCGTTTCGAAAAATTTCCCGATATATTACTGTTATTAACATCTAAAAACTCTGGAAAAAGTACAACGATTAGAATGACTCTAATGATAAAATATTAACATTGATTCAATATAAAAGAATTGAGTGATAAGAGAAAATAAATTACTCAAAGCTGGAATAGTTTGCACTCGACTTCCTTTTGAGGATAATCAAAACGACCACGACGGCGATAACAACAGCGCACATGATGTAGAACAACACACCGAATACGATCCAGCCGACTGGGACATTATTGTCTTCTTCTGATGAAGTATTGTCGTTGTTGCTTGATTGGTCAGAGTCGACGTAATCCATAAAGAACTGGACTTCCATAAATCCTTCTTCATCGAAGTTATATGGAGCAACGAAGATATAATAATCTTTATTTGGAACGGTCTCGAAATTCAACTTAGTTCCATGGACGTCGCAGGAGTATCTTACAGTGGACATGACATCAATGTAGTCCAACGGGGTGGAAATTTTAGCATCACCAACGGTATTTACCACACATCCAGAGTGTCTCAAGATAAAGGTATCCATAGTGGTCGACATTGAGCAAGTGTCAACGGAGACTTTCATCGCCTTGTCTGTGTTAAGTAAGTAATAGAGACCACGAGTCGTTCCAATGTCAGTCAATTCGGTCTTAAACGCAAGTCTGTTCAATACCAAGTATTGCTTGTAGAATTGCTTATGTGGGACAACGGTGGCAGCACTACACATGGAGTTCGCTGGGATCTCGAGAGCAAATGCAACGATTCTATACTGTTTAACGTTGACAGCAGCGAGTGCTTCATTGAAGACAGTCATAATGTAGCTTTGGCCTTTCATCGCATCAAACGACATCTGTGCAGCTTTGTGATTGCACAACTTTCCTTCTGAATTTGAACCAATGCATGTCGCGCCAGAGGCGCCTTGGCAACCGGTAGAAACCTCGACACCAGTGTCTATAACAGTCTTAGCAAAGCAAGTGGAGATATCTACTGGGACGTCATATGCCAAAGAAAATTTGTAGAAGTTTGCAGCGTTCAAGTTGTTTGAGCACACTCTTCTAGTCACAGAGTTAGAGAACGAATGAAGGGCAGTGTATGGCAACTTGATGTCCAAAGCGGTGTCACACTTGGAATATGGTCTGTTAG